TTAGAGGAATAAATTAACATACATAAGATAGTATGTATTAATTTTTAGAATACAGTATTCACAGTATGCCAAAAACAAAATTACAAATGCAGAGATTACATTAAATCCATTGAACAGAGAAGTGTTATGATTTTATGAAGTTGTCCAAGACATGCGGCTCTTACCAAATGTCTTGTGTCAGGCCTGGAAGCTTGTAACTGTTCAAACTCTTCTATTTTTGCGACATCTACATCTTCTTTTAGTTCCCAAGTACTATCTTCATATGGTAAAGAGCACCACTTTACTAAGTAGTAAATAACAGGCTGTAAAAGAATGTTTTCATTTTACCATTTTGAAAAAGAGTAGCTAGAAACAGTCTGAATATACTAACCCTCCATCCATAAAAACTAAGGAACCATTTTTCAGTGTTTTTAGGCCATTACTTTTTTAAAAACAGCAGGTTTTAACATTTGAAAAGTGTTAGGTTTTGTGTTTTTTTTTTAATTAAATATTTACCTCACCAGTATCTTTATCTTCACAAAAAGAGACTTCTAACACTCTGTCTACTTCAACGTAGTCTGGGTTAAATGGTTCCTCTTCCATCTATAATTAAAAAGTAACTTGATCAATATTTGACAAAGAAGTAGAAAGTTAAAAGCGTTATAAGCACAATTTAACTAGCTATTTTCTATAGAACAAACGTAAGTTTGATTTTGATTAAGTTTTCAGTGAATGGGATACTTCCCTTTTAATTTCCAAAAGACATCTAAGATATCTGTATTATGATCACCATGTTATATATAAATAAAACCAACCAAAAAACATTAAAAAATAAGGTACCTCAGATAAGTAGCTTACTCTAGAAGACACATTCTTTAAAATTTTCTGAAAAGGGTCTCTGTACCTTTCTTTTGCCACTTTCCTCAGGTCTACATGTTGGGGGCCAACCACCTCACCTGCAGGCTCATCTCTCAGTTGTATCAAACATTCTTGACCTACTGATGATTCCTGGGCTCAGGACCCAATTACATAAGTGAATGCAGACTCTACCTGAGTGACCTCAAAGTGCACTCATCTACTCTTCAACCTCTGTATGCTACTTTCCCCTACTTTCCTACTGGGTTAATGGTAACACAGTACTCCCTCCACCCCTAATTCCCAATTACACAAATTAGACATGAAGTCACCTCAGATTCTTTCTCCTTTTTTTAATCTCCCACATCTCCTGAGTCATCAATTCTTACAGATTCTGCCTTTAGCTACAACTCAGATGGGTTCCTCCTTCCTCATTCTCCCTGCTTCATCACTTCTTACTTGGACCTTGACAACCTCCTAACTAGTCCTCAACTACCTTCTTGCTTCCCTTTAATCCATTTTCACACTGACCCTGGGGTGATCCTTCTCAAATATAAATCTTACCCATGGCTCCCTTGCTTCAAATCCTTCAGTGACCCTCCCTTGTTTGGGGATCAGGCCCACATTGGTTTGTGTGGAATGAACAGGATCCTACCTTTTCCTCCAGCCTCATCTCCTACTGCTTGGCCAGCTGTACCCCAGATTTCATGCTCCCGAAGTACAAAAACACAGGCTTTTCAAACTCCATGTTATGGCGAACCTCCATGTTTTTATACTCCTTCTTCTCTCTTCTGAATAGTTTCTTGTTCCTTCTCTTGTCTGCCTGGCTGTTTCCTATTCATTCCTGAATGCCTTACTTTCAATAGCCCTTCTCGGCTATCTTTGCTGCCTCTCTTCCTCTGCTTAACCTCTAAATACTGTAGTGCTCCATGGTTCTGTCTTTAGTTCTCTTCACTGTCTCAAATCCTTCCTGAATGATAGTATCATCTCGGGATCTCTTGGTAACAAAGAGCACTGCCCAACATCAGAATGGGAATGAGGTACTTTAAGACAATCTGCATAGTTCCAATTTATGTTGTACCTGAGTCAAGTGAGAAAAATTAGTCTTTAAGAAAAATTAAAAGATTATTAATTCAGTACTTCTAAAATCTTTAGCTCATTAGAAATTTCTGTATTAGAGTGAGGAGGTGAAAAATTTTTGACCTCCCAGCATCCATAAACTGAGTAGGTCATTAGAATCATCAAATTTTTAAAGTAGACTTTATAATTACAAAGGAAGTAACAATAACTTCATGGTGAAAAAATCTGCCAGATACCAGCATAATCTAGTGATTACAGTTAACACCACCAGTAATGGGGCAAATGGGTATCGTGCACCTCCCGATATGGCTTCTTGAGAACAGGCTACAGGATCATTTCTGTGCTGGGTCTTATTATTTTAATTCCAGTGTAGTTACCATACAATATTAGATTAGTTTCAGGTGTACAATATCGTGATGTTCTTTTAAAAAATGCATGACTTGAATCCTGAGGCAGCATCAGACAACAGCAAATTTAGGTACATTCTACAAAATAAACTACCTATACTCTTTTTTTTTTTTTCCTTTAGAGAGAGAGTACGAGAGCAAGAGTGAATGCACACTAGTGGGGGAGAGGGGCAAAGGAAAGAAAAGAATCCTAAGCAGGCTCCATGCTCAGTGCAGAGTCGAATGTGGGGCTGGATCCCACAACGCTGGGATCATGACCTGAGCCGAAATCAACTGACTGAGCCACTCAGGTGCCCTCATCTATACTCTTAAAAAATGTCCAAGTAATGAAAAACAAAGAAAGACCAATTCAAAGAGACATGACAACACAATTCAACATATGATGCTGGACTGGATTCTGGACCAGTTTAACAAACACGAAAACACATTTTTTACTATAAAAATAGTGGAGCAATTAGTGAAATATGAGTAAGATTCGCAGACGAGCTAATACTACATCAATGTTAATTATACTATCATGAAACAGAATTTTTGAAAAATTAAATACCGACGTGTTTGCAACTTGCTTTCAAATGGTTTACGAAAAAAGGAATGCACATGGGAGAGAGGCGGAGACGGAGGCAGAGGGAGAAGGAATGTGCATGAAAACCAAACATTGTAAAGTATTAACATTTAGGGAATCTTGTTAGAATATATGTGGGAAAATAAAATGTTCAGCATAAGGAATAGAGTCAATGGTGCTGTGATGGTAACGGACGGTAGCTACACTTGTGGTGAACACAGTGTAACACAGACTAGTGGAATCACTGTCACACCTGAAAGTAATATAACACCGTGTGCCAACTATACTTCAATTATAAAGACACAGATACAGATGCAGATATATATGCATGTGAATTCATTGTACTATTTCTGCAACTTAAGATTTTTCAAAATAGAAGCTCTAAAAAAATCTTCAAATTAAAATGTTAATGAAAAATTAGATGGATCTAAAACTGCTCTAAAATAAGCCTATTCAAAGAACAAAGTAAAAAAATTTAGAGTGGAAAAGGACATCAACTAACAGGTGAGACCTTTCAAATGAATTATTCCTATGATGTTTTGTTCGTACACACACAAACCTGGCATAGAAAATATGCAACATATTTCATGGACTAAAAAATCTTAAGTTTCTATTTATTTGCTACATGACCATTTCCATTACTTGAATAACTGCTGATAAAATTCTTTCAGACATTAACCCACTCATATTCAACTCTTAAGTATTCAAATACATGTGAATTTAAAAATACAAGAAAAAAGTAAAGATAAAATAAAATAAAAACAGAAGAGTTATCTGACACTGAATTATCAGTGTTCCTGCTGCAGCTAGTTTCCAAGCTAAATTTGGGAAGAGAAAATTACGTAGATGGCATTTGTATTCAAATATCAAACTTGGAAGCCTAAGAATTAAAATGAATAAGACTTAAATTGTTGATAAATAACACTACAGGCGTTCAGAGTTCAACACATAATAGTTTCATTGATTTCCTTTTCTTACGTCTGCAAAAAAATGTGCTCTTTGTGCTTGTCTCAGTTTGAATCGTTTGATTTTCTGCTGGATCCTTTTATCTTTCAAAAGCTGCTGTTCTGTGGCCCACTCACAGTGAAGATAGGAGCTAAAAAATTTTATAAAAGCAACACATTAGAATGACATAGAAAACCATGTTTTGGGGGGCTTTTTTAGACTTATTTTTAATCACAGCATCCAATACAAAATACTCAACTTTACGAATAGGTAGCTCATTATTTCATTTAGTGTCAACAGAGTCCGTACAATTTCTAAAATAAAGCCACTGTGATCACTATATCCTGAGAAGACTAGTATAAACGTGTACAATTTGCCACACAGGAAAGAATGGTAAACCAAGTCATCGGGGCAACGAGTTGTGATTTATCAGTTACTTCTTCACTGTTTTAGCTCTGTTATGATCAGAAAGCTAACTGATTTTGAAACCAATGTAATTTTATTTAAAACATTTTCTTTCACCTAAGTCTAGGAAAAAGTGGAATAAAATCTGAAAAGTTCAACAATATAACAAGTAACGTCTATAATTTGTAAAAGAGTATTTTATAAAGATTCGTTTTGATGTTAATAATTAGTGTTTTCCGGGGGAAAAATTCACTTAAATTTTAACATAAAGGGGTTACAGCCTTTTAAGGTTATGCACTAATAAAACCCTTTAAATGCAGGTAAAATAAAAATAATAATTTAACTTAATATATTTAAATATGTTAATTTATAGTTAAATCAGCATTTTCTATTATTTTTCTAACTCAGATACTTACTAATTCTTGTATTTTACAAAAAATTCTTCTGTGTCAATCATTACTCCAGGTGATACCTAAGGAAATAAAATCAACACTTAGGACTGTAATGCTCAGGCTGTGTAATGTAAAGTGTGCAATGTAATGTGCGATTACTTACTTCCTTTTTTATAATTCTAGAAGACAGGATTTTATCCACGATTGCAGCATCTTCTTCACTTGGATTCTCCTATGGGACAGAGGAAAGAGAATACAATGTCACATTCTAAGAACTCCTTTTGTTGCCACTTTGAAGGTTTACGAACACACTAAAATCCAGCAAATGTTTATTTAGCACAAGTGCCAGGCGCAGCGTTAAATGATAGGAATACGAAAAGGGAAAAACATCACTGCTGTTATTGTCCTAGACGTCATCTGTATCGCCATCACGGGAAACACACTGTGCTTAATGGGCTCAGTGTCATCACCAGCGCTTTACACACACATTGACTAATCTAACCCGCACGAGCACATGACAAAGTAGGGGCCGTTACTGTCTCCACTGTACAGATCAGGAATCTCAGGCACAGAACAGAAGTGCTTGCCCAACGTGTCAGATCACTCAGGTGGTAGGTGGGTGGCTGGGTCACAACCCAGACAAGGAAGATGGCAAGAATACACAGAGAGGAAGGTGCCCACACAAAGACTCAGAGTGCACCCATGTTTGTAACGCCGGAGGAGTCAGTGCTTGTAAAGAAGTAGCATGAGGTAAGGCCAAAAAAAAAAGCCACACAAAGGGCTTTGTATGCTGGGCTAAAAATGCATCATTATATCTGGGGGAGCTATTAGAGGAGGTTTTAGTAGAAAAGTACTATGATCAGGCCTGTAATTTAGAAATATTCTGCAGAAAGGACAGCATTTGGAGGCATTTCAGAAACACATATTTAGGGGGTGAAAAATATGGTGATAAAGTGGATGAAGAAACAAAGGAAGAAAACAGAAAGGATGAACCCCTAGGTTTCTGATCTGAATAATTAATGGTTCCTTTAATTACAACATGGAATCCAGGAGGAAAAGTTGGAGCAGGTTTTAGTAGGAAAGATAATGGGAGTATTTTGAAGAATGTATGTTGGCTCCAAATGATTTGTAGTTATAATCCCAGTTCTGTCTTACCACAAATAACTGTAAAGGCTGTTCACCAGGTAAAGGAACTGAATTCTTTTTTATTTTCATAGATCCTTTGATCTCTTCTTCAGATTGTTTCCCTTCTGTGTCTTCTGCATATTTTTTTCTTTTAATTTGACGATTTGATCTTCTTTTCTGTAATGAACCATAAGGATCATATTTATATGATAGATTTTAAAGGAAAGACTTAAAAGTAATTACTCCTAGTGTGGCAATTTTGTACATTATATTTTTGAAATTGTCTTTAACATCCATCTTTTCTCATTTTTCCTTTTAATTAAAGAAAGATTATAATTGGCCCTTTGCCACAGACTTAGAATCTTGTTCTACTTCCTAAAGTTTCAAGTAACAGTCATACCTTTATTACTTTTCTTTAGAAATTATTAGGATTAAAAATTTTTTTATTTAACTACTTCACACCTTGGGCAAAATATATTTTATTAGTAATACCTTTATTACTTTATTACTTCTCTTTAGAAACTATTGTTAAGAAGAGTAAAGACATATTTTATTTAGCTATTTCACACTTTGGACAACACATATATTAAAGTGTTAATACTTTTACAGCTTTTGCTCCAAACCTAAAAAGTGCATCAGATATATACTGGTTAAATAATTAATCGGGGACATAAAATTAGAACAAGATATTAAATCATTTTTACCATAAAACCCATGAATTTCTGTTTAAAACAGAATAAAAACATTTAAAAGAAATACATAAAATAATCCAGTAAATCTACCAAATAATTAAATGTATATGAAAGAGAAACCAGTGTTTTACTAACTTTACTAGCTTCCCTTAAAAAATAAAGAACACTTCAAAAGCAGAAGTAAGCCTTCTGAAAAGTACTACATTTTAAAATAATCTAAGTGATTTAAAATCAGGTATAATACACACGGCTTTACTTACCTCCCTAAATATCTAATATTTGATGTTCCCCACTATAAAATCAAAATCTCCACACTGGCTTGAAAATTTCAAAGGACTTAGGTTTGCTTTTTCCCCCACATCCCTAAAATCTCATGGGTGGAGGCATCTCAGCCAACTTTTCTATTTCTCAGGGTTTGGTAAATCTACCTTTTCTTCCTTTCTCCATGCCATTTTCTATATTTAGTAACTCCTGTGACATTCCCCCACAGTATAACCAGCAAAATGACCCATGCATTCTCCTTTTGGTTTCTGCCAATATGCTCAATTTGATAGGCCTTTCCTATTTCCACAGCCATTACAAAAGTGTCTCAATCAGTGTAGCAGGCTGAGGACAAACTGTTATCTGCATTCAAAAAACTGCAGTGGCCTTAAATGTGCCTCTGCCTCTTTCTCTCAAGTTGTGGAATACTGAGAGAAAGAAAGGCACTGACATGGTGAGTTAGGGGAGGTTAGTAGATAACCTCATGACTCATTTAGGATGGGTCACCATCTCCTGGTGACATGAAGATATTTACCTTTTCAAAACTCAAGGTGATACTTTTATTAATATGGGAGACAGGAAGGTGGCATAGAAAAGTGATAATAAAAGGAACTTCTAGAAACCCAAATCTTCCCACATCCTATTTTGAAAAAAAATTATCATTATTCGAGGGAGAAATTCTATGGATCTCTAACCTAACACTAGATTGAAGGAATATTTAGAGTTCTACGACAGGTATCACACAGTTCTGAATACTCAAGGATAGCTTAAGTTAATAAACCAACAGTGACATTTATTATTCTAACAATAGCATGTATCACCAATGTTATGTCTCAGTGGGCACAAATCTTCTAAAGAGTGAAGTTTAAGAATAGTTCAGTATACTTGTAGAAGATTCCATTTGATGTTTTCAGCATTAAAGTTTCTTTTCTGGTCAGTGAGGTATCTCTTGGAACTTTGAAATGCCTCATTTAGGTCTTTAGAAAATTGTAAATGAGTGGCCTGAAAGAATCCTTTGCACCAACAAAAGTGTATATTTAGGTGATTCTTCACAAGATAAAATGAGAGCCACGTTAACTAAGCTGCATACTCATCCTGTGAAGACTTTACCAGTCTAAAGGATGACTTAAAAAGTGTGAGTTATATGATTACAGTTGGAATATTATAAAATTATTATAGATACTATAAGATTATAGCCGGAATCATTACAGAAGAATAAATTATATTAGAATAAATTATATTCTACTAGAGAAGATAGCTACACATCAGGCCAAGTCAAATGAGGGGCCGCTCTCAACAAATTATCTTTCTCTGTCATGTAATATCTCTACTACCTTAAAAATACAAAAACTAATTTGGTGTACTTGTCTGGCTTTATTTCTTTATAATGTTTTCAAAGCACAATTTAAAATGGTAACAAATTCTTTCTTTGAATTTTTTTTCTAGCTTTTTCTTCTTAGAGGCTTCAACAGATCAAATTACAACACTTTACATAAGAAGTCAGAAATAGGCTTTTAAACAACTAATACATCATTCCAATAACGTTACTTGTTTCCTATAATAATCCTAACATCATGTGCTGTATGGGCTTTTTAAAAATATGAAGTCTGCAAATATAGTCAGACTACCGAAGTACTCTATATGAAGATTAAAGGTAAAAAACTTAAATATCACATTAAGATTTTTATTCCAACTGACTCCAAACCTAAAACCTAAATTAGTTTTTATGCCTTCAAATCTTGACAGTCCACTGTGGGTAAAGGCTACATGGCCCTTTCCATCATTCATATAATGGTACATTTAAACATATCAATAATATAGATTTATTATCACTTATTAGAAACTATTTCTTTCCTTCCCCACTGATATTTTTGTGTTAAAGCAACACAGCAAACTATAGTGAAAGGTATGGAAGAAATGCGCATGTTAACCTATTCTACCATTTCATTGTTTGGTGATTGATAACCATACTGGAAAAATGGCCAGCAGTATTCTAGCAAAAATTCAGCTGAATTTTCTCAGGTTAAATAAGTTAATGTAAGTTTGCCTAGGTTAAGGATAACATGTGAAGAAAACGCCAGGCCATATAGTATCAGGAGCTTCAGTCTCTGCCCTTACCTCAACTCTTGCAGCAGCCCAGGAGCCTTGAGCCACTACTCTCCCATTGGATAAGAAGCTGCATAAGGAAGAAGAAAGGCCATTCAGGGGCTTTCTGGCCCCATAATTCAACAACTGCCACCACCCATACGGCCTAGAGTCGTACTTTAATTATTAGAGAGCAGAGGGTGGCCTGAATTATTATGACCTTCGCTACATATATACTTTTTAACTTCACAAGGTTATTTTGAATATCCACCTATTCAAAAAAAAAAAAAAAAGGCAAAATGCACAGTATTTTTGTCCACATTAGGGGATTTTTAGTAAAATTGGTTATCTTTTCTTTGACAGAAGCAGACTAATGGAATTATCTCTAGGAATGATTCAATCCATTTGCTCTATCATTGTATGTGATTCTCAAAATTAGTATCTCTGTCATTAAGTTCACTCAAAAGCACTCTGTAAGTACAGGGTAATATCACTAGATATTTCTCCATGCTAAAAGCCATCAGGGACTTTGGACTGTTATTTAACCTCTCTGGGCTTTGGTTTCATTATCTGAAAAATGAAGGGTTTTGAGAGGATATGTAAGTTCCCTCCCAGATCTAGCATTCTATGGTAATACTACTAGGAGCACGTTTTAATAATGCAGTCTTAAAGTTCTACCATGTAATAAAATATAGCTTCACTACTAGAGTATAAATAACCATAAAGCAGTTTTATGCTATCTAATTCTACCAGTGCTTCATTTCTTGGAAAAAAAAATGTAATACTCACTTGAGGGTCTTCCTCTTTGAGTGTGTGCCGAGGCATTTGCTCTGTGTCAGATATTTCATCTGAAGACTCATTCTTTCTTTTTTGTTTCTTACCCAATGTAATAATGAGTTTGCTGTTTCAAGAGGAAAAGAATCAACAGTAAGAACTCTTTTGCCTTTTTCTATTTTTGGTCATATTAAGATTGGCATGATAAACTTTTTTCCATTTTGTATCACATGAATGTTCAACCAAAGATGATAACTATCATGAAATCCATAATGACATTTTCAAGACAAGAACTATATTCTAGTGGAACAAACACAAACCAATAATACAGTTAACATACTTGTAAGTATAGAAAGGCAACCATGTTTTATCACTTGTTTCTCAGGCTCAAAATCGTTTTTCATGGGAAAAATGTCAGATGATAGAACTGTACTTAATAATTAAAATAATCCATTTATTATCTTGTAGGTTTGGAATGAGGGTTCTTTTTCCCCCCATCTACCTCTTACTAAATTCAAACTCCACTTAATGTCCTTCCCTAGAAGTCTCTACTACTTTTTACCCTAATTTCTCCCCTACACAAACACTTTAACAAGGAATTGTTCTTTCATTATTTCACTCATGTAAAGGCTTATCTTAGCTGTACTGTATGTTCCTAAAACGTTAAAAACTCTTCTTTTATATTGTCTTTTTTTTTTTAATTTTTAAAAATGTTTTATTTATTTCTGAGAGAGAGAGAGACAGAGAGAGACAGAGAGAGAGAGAGAGAAATAGAGAGGCAGCGTGAGCAGGGGAGGGTCAGAGAGAGATGAAGGTACAGAATCTGAAGCAGGCTCCAGGCTCTGAGCTAGCTGTCAGCACAGAGCCCCATGCGGGGCTTGAACCCACAAACTGTGAGATCATGACCTGAGCCAAAGTTGGATGCCTAACCGATTGAGCCACCCAGGTGCCCCTCTTCTTTTATATTTTCACAGTTTGCCTGTCTCTCTCTCAGACATACGTGTATATGCGTATATTAATATTTATACACACCCATCAAATACAAATGTTTAAAATGAAAATGTATTTTCAACTTTTTTTTCTTGATCAGAAGTATAGAAATTACAGAGCTCCCACATTTCCTTATTTCTGTTTCCACAGATGAGAGGGCATGATTTTTAAAGCACTATACTAACCACAAACCATGCTAATTGCTTATCAAGGAAATTGTATTTTAGATATCCTTATTTCCAAACAGAGAAAACTTCCCAAAATACTTTCAAGTGTGATATATCAGAAACATAGAAGAATTTTCTTCAACAATTATTTACTAACGTGGGAGAACTTAGAGGTTAAAACCACACACTTTGAAATCATAGCATCATAGATTTTAAACCTAATTCCACCATTTACCTATCTGTAAGACACCTGGCAAATTACTTGATCTCTTTTAGCCTTAGTTTCCTTGCCTGGAAAATAGGGGTATTCTAATAACTACTTCTACTGTTGTTGAGATTTAAGTGGGATAATGCATATGAGCTAATCTAAGCAAAGTCCTGATACAGTAATTTCTGAACTAACCTCTAATTATTATATGCCAGGTGCTCCTAGGTTCTAGGATTTGAAGATAAAGCGGACACAGTTCCTAACATTAAAGTATCACTGGTTAGAATATGAACACAGTTAAGAGGCAAAAGTGGAAGTTAACTCCGGATATAATGTGAACACAAAAGAAGAAGTGCTTATGTCTACTGAAGAGTAAAGGAGGAATACAGAAAAGGTAAAGTTTGAGACAGGAAATGAATAATAAAAGGGAGTTTAATTAGTAGTGAAAGAAGAGGGAAGGTACATTCCAAGTAGGGGGGATGTTACAGAAGAATGAGAGAAATGTGCAGAGATAAGGTCATGTCAGAAATACACTAAGTACTGCAGCACCTGGGTGGCTTAGTCGGGTAAGCACGGACTCTTGATTTTGGCTCAGGGCATGATCTCATGGTTCGTGAGTATGAGCCCTGATGTCTGCTGTCAGCACGGAGCCCACTTCCAATACTCTGTTCCCTTCTCTCTCTGCCCTGTGCCGCTCAGACGCGCAAGTGTGCGCGCTCTCACTCTCAAAAATAAAATAAACACTAAAAAACAAAAAATACACAGAGCAGTGCAGGAGGAGGAAACAGAGATGATCATCTAGGCAGAGTGAATCAAAGATCCTTGTATGACATGTAAGGAGTTAATACTTTGGGTTAAGGGCAGCTTTTAAGCTCCACAGGGCAGGAATTGAAAACGGAATCTAAATCTATCTGTCTTGTTTACCACTGACAACAAATGGCTCTGAGATACTCTGAATAAATGAAAAAAAACTAATAAAGCAATTGTAAGGTATGAGAATTTTATACCAATAGGTTCTAGGGATTTAATAATATAGCATGATGATCCTAGTTAAATGCAATACTTCACTGTATATTTGAAAATTGCAGAGTGAATCTTAAAAGTTCTTATCATAAGAAAAAAATTTGTCACGGGTAAGGGGATGGGTATTAGCTACACTTACTGTGGTAACAGGTTTATAATGTGTACATATGTCAAATCATTATGCCGTACACCTTAAACGAATACAATGCCACATATCAATCATTTCTGTAAAATTGGTGGCAAAAGGAATTTCCAATGAGAGCAATGCAACTCAAAGAAGTAAAATGCAAGGCAGGGAAAGGAGCAATCTGGCAAATGACAGGTCAAGTGAGAGATGGAGAGAGCAACGCAGGGCTATGGCCATATGGATGAAGAGGTGAAGAAAGGCACAATTTTATTATGAAGGCAGAATTGAGAGATGTGGTCACTGACTGGTTGCCTAGATGCAAGAAAATTCTAGAGTTATTCTCAGATTACTCTTGTACTGTATTGCACGATTACCACCTTCAACAGGAGAAGGATGGCTCTAACTTGGTATGTCACCTGCACTCTTCTGACGATGTGAAGAAAGCGAATGAGAGGTCCAAACACAGCTTATGTTGGAACTAGGAAATCAGAGAGGGTTCAAAAAGATATTCTGAAAAAATATGAAGGAAGCAGCTGTGTTTATATTTCATTCCCTCTCACAGCTTTCACTGGTCAAGTCTTCCCCTGTCTGGTGCTGTTTCCTTACGTTGGTTTACCTCCTAAAATACAACTCTCTCTTGAGGTCATGTCTGCTATTAGATACCCCATGATCCCGTTCTTCCTCCCACTCATCCGCACTTCCTAACAAGTCGTCTACACGGACGGTTTCATTTTCAGTCCTCAACCTGCCATTATCTGAACTGTTGGAACTACTTTTCATTTTCAAAGCTTCCACTTATCCAGCATTTATGGAGCTGGTCACTGCTGACTTTTGCACGCATTCTCTCATTTGATGTTTGTACAATTCCAAGAGGCAAATACTAGCATTTTATAAAAGGAAGTGGAGGCTTAGCAAAAAAATGTGTTCCAAGTCACACCTACAGTAAGGATAAAGATAAACATGAAGCATGCCTCATTCCAAAGCTTAAAATCCTAATGTCTGAGGCCACAAAGGACCTTTGTAATGCCAAACCCAAAGGGAATTTTTAATGTTTTATCTAATAACGCATAACGAATCAGTTTTTCCTTTTCTGTATCCTTGGCTCTGAGACACAATGCTCTCCTGGTTCTTGCTAAACTTCCTTTGCTCCTCTTCCTCCATCTATTCTTAGTATTGTTAGTTTTCAGCATGATTCAGTCCTTGACAACTCTTTTCTATCCGTCCTGTAAACTTTGGTATTTCTCAAACTAGGGTCTTCAGCCTCCTTTTCTATTGACAGGCCCTGAGAGATGAAATCTATTCATAAAAACAACTGTTTCTTAGATATGTCCACACAGATATCCCACTGATAGCACAATCTCAAAATGCTCCACAATCTCAAAATGCTCCAAATACAACCCCTCACTTTCCCCAAACCTAACAGTCTACTAAGTGAAGTTCAGAAAAGCACATGCATCAAAAGAAAACAGGTTGGTGAATTTTCTCAAATGAACATGAATGTGTAACCAGCTTCTAGATCAAGAAACAAGACATTATTGGGGCACCTGGTTGCTCAGTCAGTTAAGTGTCTGACTTTGGCTCAGGTCATGATCTCACAGTTGTGGGTTCGAGCCCTGCGCTGGGCTCTGTGCTGACAGTGTGGAGCCTGGAGCCTATTTCGGATTCTATGTCTCCCTCTCTCTGTCCCTCCTCCACTCATGCTCTGTCTCTGTCTCTCTCTCTTCCAAAAATGAATAAATATTTTAAAAATTAAAAAAAAATAAACAAGACATTATTAGTTTCCCAGAAGTCTCCTCTGGTTCCTCCTCTTCCAGTAAAAACCTTCTCCAAAGGCTAAGCCTGATGTTTTCTGGGATTACACAATACAGCCTAAGACACTTAGGCAGTTGATCTTCAGTGGCAGGGTCAGGGATAACTGTAAGTAAATCAGGTAGTAGAAATACACGTTTGAGTACTCTCCCATTTGCTATACATCTCCAAACCTAAATGTATGTTTTAGACTAGTCTGTATATGAGGCCAAAACTAGTAAAAAGGAAATTTAGCTACTTAAATAACAATTTCCCATGAGATGCAAACTAAGGCCTGTTAATACCCTTCAATATGTTGCATAAAAAGGCATTTTCTCAATGTTGGGTAAGCTAACCGAATGCATCTTCTGATGCAGGTTGCTTAAAAACTCAAATCTATAAGGTCACTTAAAAAATCAAATCCCAAAAGTAAAAAAAAATCAATGAAATCAGAAGCAGAGATACTTAAATATTTTGTATTTATGCCTTACAATGAAGAGGTTATCCTGTTCCTCTGTGGTAGTATAAGGTAATGAAATGAAATCTCTCTCAGGACAGTGTACCAGGCTGCTTAAACATTAGTTTTATAGGTAAGTATTGCCTAAATCTCTATAAAAGAAATACTAATAACTGTTGCCAGATCAACCTTAGACATTCACCCTCTGTGGTGGAGGAGGGTAAGTCAGATAAAAACATCTCCCATAATACCTTGGATAAGCCTTCATTATATTATTTTTAAAATGCTCTTTAATAAAAATTTTTTAATATGTATTCATTTTTGAGAGTCAGAGCTTGAGTGGGGGAGGGGCAGCGAGGGAGGCAGAATCCAAAGCAGGTTCCAGGCTCCAAGCTGTCAGCACAGAGCCTGATGTGGGGCTCGAACCCATGAACTGTGAAATCATGACCTGAGCCGAACTTGGACACTTAACTGACTGAGCCACACAGGTGCCCCTACTTGAAAAATGTTCTTCAAAACAAAACAGGGCCTTTTAAATTTTATTTTCCATATATTCTCTATTTTCTTCCAATGTTGTACTACAGGCCTGGAATAGGCATCTTTTTTCACGAACTCATTAACCATTCTTAATCCAAGCAAAAATTTGTTTAAATCCTAATTTTATAAGAGATCTTTCAGATATATTAGTGATCTACAAACCTTTCAAAGTTCAAAATATTCACACATACCCTTTCTGTTCAAAAACGGTGCATTTCCATGGTAGGAAACAAGTTGATTCTAAAACATTAAGTCATGCCTGACTGACATATTTCTGAGTAAAAAATACAGATATATTTTAAGACTTAAAAACTAGGGTTACTTATACAGAACACTGATTCTTGGAAATAATGAAGTCAAATTGGTTTGTTGTAAAGTTCTGAAACAGTTATATAGGTGATACTACAAAGGGGAACAAAAATTAGGTTGGTATTAATGAGTAATTTCTAAACGTGTGAGGCAGACTTCATTAGAAGGCTGTCTGTTAAAAATAAAGATTCCTAATCAGAAAACCTGAGACAAACCCAAACTGAGAGACATTCTATAAATTCACTGGCCAGTGTGCTTTACAGGCGAAAACACCATAAAAGACAAAGACTGAGGAACTGTCCTGAATTGGAGGAGGTGTAAGGTGGGAGGACCACACAATGAAACGTAGGTTCCCGGCCAAAACAAACGGAACTGACAAATTTGACACAAGGTCTCTAAGTTAACAGAATCGTGTAAGTGTGTGTGTGTGTTTTCTGTGTTTGACAATCGTGCTTTGGTTACATAAGACGTTAACATTTGAGGAAGCTGGGTGAAGAGTCTAAAGGACTTCTGACCTACTTTTGCAAGTCTGATATTAGTTCAAAATAAACAGTTAAAAAAAATTACTGATCTGTAGGTCCCAACCCTCAAGATTCTGATGCAGGAACCCTGAAGAGATTCTGACATGCCACCAGGTTTGGGAACCACTGGTTCAGCTACTGTCACAGAAAACTCTAAGAACAAATATTCAGGATAATAAAACTATTTTATATTCATAAAGCATTTAAAATACCAACGTGCTTTTGCCTGTAATATCTCAGTGGATCCTGAGAAAAACTCTGACATAGATAAGGTATCAGTCCTACAATACTAATAGGGAAACTTCAGCTCCAAAAGGTGAAATAAACAGCCCAGGTCCCAAGTTTAGTAAAAGACAATAAAGGTCTCTTTATTCCTGGTCTACTTTTTCGAACACATCTTACTGATTTTAAAATAAAATGACATTACACTTCAGTCAGTCAATAAATACTTAATTTCAATAAATATGCATAGTTTAATGCATACAGAGAAATATGAAACTATTACTGTCATTTTGTAATTAAGGTTAAAATTTATCTTATTTTCAAACAACCAGAAATCTCTACTGCCCATATAATGACAAATGATTGCCATAAATATTATGTGAGGGAAATCAGATGATCCAAAAGTAGAA